CATGTTCTCCGCCAGATAGCCCACGCTCACGCCCACAGTCTTCAGTATGTTCTCATACACAATGTTGTCCACAAAGTCCACGTAACTCAGCCATACGGCGTCATCCTGCTTGCGCTCCATGTCGAACTGCAGCATGTTATCCTGCAGCAGCTTGTGAATCTCAATGGAAGCCGCCTGGATTTCGGCATACCGCTTGGCGGTTCGATCGGGACGTTCATCTATTGATAGAACCGTATCCTTCTTGCAATCACGCCGCTCGAACAGTGGATGCTTGGCCCACACACCCATGATTTTGCGTATCTGCCGAAGATTGCCCTGGGTGTGATCCATCCGATTTTGGAGAGCGGCCACGGGCTTGCGCAGTTTGTCCAGGTAAGTCAGGATGTCTTCCGAATTCCAAACGAGCTGATTAACGCCGATCTCCACGAGATCATCAATCATCTTAATCTCAGGCTCGATCAGTCGGAGCTCAACGGGTGAGCTGCCCTCCTGGATGCTGTTGTACCAGTCAATGGTCTTTTCAAGATTTAGGGTGTAGGAGCGAAAGACGTCGCTCTTCTCGGCAAATTCAATAGCTATTTGGGGAATGCCATCGATCTTCATTTGCTGCATATAGTGCACCTCCCTCAGAATGGAGAATAAGGCGGCGCTGAAGTTAAGGATCAGTGAGTTGCTGCGATTATCGCGGGCTATGAGGGACTTCTTTAGGTTCTCCTCAATTTGACCGGCCAGCTGCGCGGCCCAATCGTCAAAGAACTGAGTTTTGCAGGCTCCCAGTTTTATCATCAAGCTCTCGTAGCGCTCTACAATCTCCAGAGATTTTTCCGTCTTGGTAATTCTGCAAAGAATTATCTAATTATAGTTAAATATCACTAACTATTTTAGGTATGACTTACTCATGCTGAAGTGCCTTGAAGTGCTTGACTGGAGCTGTTATCCGCGTCTCCAGCTGGTGGCACCATCGAATGAAAGCGGCAACCGGGGGACAGTTGTAGTTTGGATACAGATTATCCCCCAATTTCTTAAGCTCCATCTGCTTGTCATAGATGGTCTCGCAGACGGTCATCTCATCGTCCAACATGCGCACGATTTCGGCATATCGCTGGGTAAACTCCTCCTTGATCTTGGGCCGATCGAGAACGCTACCCACAATGCTAATTAGCTGTAACACCAAATTACTTATAAGTCAACGGTTAGTAATTGCCCGATGTAAGATATTCACCTTGAAAATACTCTCCAAGTTGTGGCAATCGTCGAAGGCCTGACACAGAATGGCCGCCAGCTTCATGTCCAGCTCTAGGATGCGTGTCTGGAAGCCCTTGAAGTCCTCATCAAACTCATGATCATCAGGGTCCAGCACATCGTAGCTCTTCGAGGCAAAGGCTGTGAAGTACTGGTTGAACTCCACGTAGACATCCGTGATGCGGGTGCTGAGCTGGCGACCTCGCAGCCCACCGATTTCGACTTTCTCTAATTTCAGGAATTCAATCACAGTAAAGAAGAACCTTGATGGAACCAATTTAAAAATATGTATCAACTATCAATTAACTCATTTGCGACCGAAAATCTTACCACTGGATGGTTGTGAGACGCTCGAGGAAGGCATTAAAGCGCTTGAAAACTGAATTTGGATGAAAAGTCCATAAAATCGGAGGCCGCTCCTCGGGTTCCGTGAAGAATGTGGCGAGTCGTTCCTTGTAGTAGTCGAAAAGTTCCCGAAAGAACTTCAATATCTGAATGGACAGGGTGAGGCGCTGCATGGCCTCATCAATATCGCTGTGGAATATGGACGAGGGATCCAGATATCGCTTGGCCTGAAAGCGATCGCAATTATTACATTTTATATGTAGTCTGCAGTTGTAATCCTCACCTGATGTATAATCAAATTGCATATTTCCTGCAGCAGCACGGTTATCTTCGACGATTGACAGTAGTATCGCGAATTTCCCCATAAAATGCCCACAGTATTCATGAATGGAATGAGCAGGGGCTTGCATTCGGCAAAATCAATCTCCTCCAAGTGCTGGAGTGGCCGCTTCAGGGGGTTCAGATAGAGTGTTATATCCTTTGCCTCCGCCAGAGCTATGGAAATGGTTATTGGAAATTGGCATGCAAAAGTGCTATTTCGCGGCACGGAAAACTCACCTGTAACGACGTTCTTGAAGAGGGTCTGAAAGCACGGATGGTAGGCACTCATCGAGTACTCCAGGATGAGGGCCATGGCCCGAATGCGCTCATTGCGCAATTGGTCGTAGATAAAGGACAGATTTTTAAGACGATTATTCCAAAATGTGAACTCTGTTGATTTTTACAAGAATGGCAACATATTATTAATGAAGAAAATTAGTAACTTGGTAACTGATTACTTAAATATTGTTGTGGGTCTTAGAAAAAGGTAAGTGTATGAGAAAATTACTCTAAAATCTTATTAAAACAACTAATGCGAATGCTATAATCTATGTACAATATTACAATAGTAATTTGGACGGCTCACAGATCTGAAAGTTCATTGTGAACATTCACATGACTAAATCTAACCACTTACTAAACTGATCAAAAATGTATATATAATTGAGATTAAAGATAATATTATCCTTTTGTTACACACATTTTCAATGGGCCTAATTTTATAAACATTCTTGGGCTAAACCTTGAAAAGCTAGTAATTTCTGCAACAACATAAATATTGTATAAATCGGAATGATTTAACTCCCACAAAGTCAATTTCTCCTCAGCTTTTAACCCTATTTATACTCCTTCTGTGAAGGACAAAACCATCGAAATCTAAGGGTTTTTAGGCTAATCAGACTTTTGGCTTTTGCCATTTCGACAACCCATAATTGAATGTCAAATGCGAAAGCATAACAAAAGCCAGGTAACTACTTAGGTTTCGGGGTAATAACGAAACCAAATAATGCCTGCACGCGGAATGTCCTTCGTGAACAGATAATAAAGAAAGGCAAAACTTTCGAAAGACACAACAGACAACGGGATGGGTATGAACATGCAAATTGCGGGGTTGCTAGGATATGGGGGGACTTGAATTTTATCAATAAATAATAAATGGAGGAGCCAAAAATAAAACCGGCACACATGGCACCGTTGCGACGTCTCACCTGTGTGTGGAGTGGGATTCTGCCCGTTGGCGAAGGCATTCGATGGGCTCTCCTTGATGACCTCGTGGATCTGAGTGGCCCACTTGATGACCACTCCCTCGATGGCGCTCTTCAGGTACAGGTCGAATTGGCACTGCTCCGTCTCGACCAGCTCCTTGGCCGCCTTCACGATCTTCTCAACGCCCACGGGCATGGCCAGGATGGTTTCGCCGCTCACCTGGCCCTTCACCTGGTGGACGGTGCTCTTGAGGCTGTGCACATGCTTCTGCACATCTTGGGCCACCATGATGGGCCAGGTGCGATAGTTATCCTCGTTGGACAACAGCGGCACCAGCACCTCCTCCACCAGGGCTGACAGCTGGTCAATGGTGCGCGTAGCCAGGTCTCCGTAGATGATGAAATTGCCGCAATCCTCACGGGGAATGGGCAGGGCATAGCGCTTGATGAAATACACGCCCTTGCTCTTCAGCTGCGACAGCGGGAAGGTGGTGGAGGGTACCAGCTGGGCGGCAGGGGTGAGGATTATGATGAGGACAACTGGGGTATTCCTGTCCAGAAACTCCTTGATGATGCCCTTGTGCTCCTCCACCGTGATGACACGTGTCCACTTCTCCGGCTTCAGCTTGAGCGACTTGATGACGAAGGAGCCCATCAGCTCCAGCCGTGGATCCGGGCCACCAGCGGCCGCAGCAGCGGCTGCCTCGGCGCTGGTGGATGGCTCCATAGCGGCCCACTGTCTAGTGGGTGGGTTGGGTGGTTTTGGTTTACTGCAGTGGTTGCCTTGCTGCTGTTGCTGTCTGTCTGTTTGCTGTGGGGATGAGGTGCACATGCATATCTGAGTGTTAGCCTGACCTTGTTACCACTAACAACTAGCATATAAAATCGATGAAAATTGCAAATCAATAGGGTTTATTTTTTATGTTTCGGGATAGATTTCTCTTAGATTTGGTTATTTATGCATTTTAATTATTACTTTTCTTCTTTTTTTATCATTTTTATTGGGTTATCTAACTGATTGCACAATTTTCACTGGTTATGTAACACGTTAAAGCTTAAATTTTAAATATTTCTGGCCAAAGGACACCAGGAAATAGAATAAACTATTTAAATTCACTAAATCCTAAAAGCGGATTACCAGAAAAACAAAGATTTTAATGAATTTCTAAGCTTTTTATATAGTATATATTTTAATTGTATTTTTTCCTAAGGTTCTTCACAGGTTTTTCCTTTTTCCGATTGCGACTGCTTACCTCCGCTGCTGTGCGGCGACTGAATGGCTTGTTATTTCCGGCAGCGACACCAGCTCCACCTGACACGCACATCCAGGCGCCAAAGTGATCGTGGCAGGACCCGTTGCCATGCAGTTGTTGATTTTGGCCACCGAATCCTCGTGAGACAGTGGCCACTGTTTGTTATTTCCCCTGCGCCATAATGCCCGTTGCCAAGATGGTTGCCAAGATGGCGACCAACTGTTGCGCATAATTTGCGTCAAAATGGCAAATTGCACGCCATTTTGCAAATTAAGTCCTTCGATTAGCACGATTCGATTTGATAGATTTAGTGCTAAATAATTTTCAAGTTGAGCTGTGCATTATTCAATAAAGGTAAAATTATATATATTGTTGACAGTGAAATATTAATATTTATGATAATAATTCCTAGTTAAAACGAGTAGGCTTTTCCTAATCAATTAACTGGAATGAATTAGAACAAGAAATCGAGTCACAAAATCTAAACTATGGTTAATAAATATTATTAATAATTCATTGGTTAATGAGATTATAATTTATAATCAGCTAATGTGGCATTTTACAATGAATACTTGAATTAAAAAACTAAATATGAAGTGTAGCAATGTATGCAAAGCTTAAATTACATATGTAATAAATTCATCAAATGGAAGCAACTTCTCAAACTATAAATTAATTTAAAGGTATCATATCCTATATCTCGTCTATCATATAGGTTTGTAACATTTCAGGCGACTTCAGCTGCACAAAAATCATACTTTGATGTCAGAAATGATAAGCAAACTATTAAATTTCGAAACATTCAACACATCAAGCGGGTGGGAGTGCTAAAATGGCTGTCAGACACCTGTCCGCAATTGCTCAAGTTCGATAAAACCAAAGTTATTCCCAGCACGCTATAATCTGTTGCACTCCGCTGGCAACAGTTGGTCAGGGGAGTTCCCTCAGGTAAACAAATGCACCTGAATCATTCACACTTTCCATAATTGTTGCCTCTATTTTATGGTTGTGCCACGCGCAGGCGCCATCAACACGTGGCTGTAAACAAACCCAAGTTACTTGTTGCACTGCCCACGAACTTGGCTGAAATGCAACAGTTTATCGCATGACTTCCGGCTGTAAAAGTTTTAGCGTTTCCATCGAACAAGGCCTAGGTCGCGGCGTGAGCTCTGGGCGACGGTTCAGCGAACTCCAAACCAAAACCGCACTTATGCTGGCAGCCAGCCAAGCCTGAAAATCAATAAAGATATAAACCCAATCAACAACCGGTGGCTGCAACCAGTCGATCCGAACTGCAGCCATGTGGCAGTTGGCATTGGCACTTGGCCTAATCCGGCAACTCAGCCTGGCCATCGTTGTGGAGCGCAACATGTTCGCCTACTACAAGGTACCGGCAGCCCAGTTGCTTTTCGCCCAGGAGTCCCACTCCGACCCAGACTCCAGTTTCGACATTGATACGGATTTCGCCTCCAGGGAGATCATCCAGCACGCCGGTAGCAGGGTCAAGGACTTGTACTACGTTCTACAATGTCCGCCAAAGCTGATGGATGCTATACCAAAGCCACAGGACATGCAAACCTGCAGCGTAGTAGACGAGTATCGAGCCATGTTTCAGAAGAAGCCGCCAAAGCCCAAAAAACGACTGCACATGGTTCCGTTTCGGATCGTGCTTCGTCCCCTGGGACCACCGGCCATGAGGCGTAATCTGAAGCGCCGCAAGCGTCAGCACAAGGACGTCTCAAGGACAGCTACAGAGCAGGAGAACGAGAAGGAGGCCTCTAGTCCGCTGCAGCATCTGGGACGCCCCCACGCCCGTCAAAAGCTACTCAAGCTGGCCGCCGATCATCGCCAGTTTAAGCGCGGAAATAGCTCGAAGGGCTACCAGCATATGTATCATCGGGACGAGATCTACAACGACCATATTTTTTACGACGAAGTCCATACGGACGGGGAGTTCCATAATTATGGAAAGGAGAAATCCTGATGGTGAAATGGTGATTTACTTACTAGTGGTATTCCTGAAACTAAGAATAATAGTTAATTATATTAATTGATTTTCACATAGAGAAAAGTTTTCTTTGAATTTTTTGAAATTAAAATGGCCCTAAGAGCTATCCGAACCCAAGGAGCCCAATTCAGGCAGAAACATGTCATCATAGGCGACATTTTGGAACACCTTATTTAGCAAGGTGGTATAGGATGAGGAGAACGCTCAGACCTGGTAGTAAGTCATTCCAAAACTCCAACCAATTCTCGTTTAATATCCGGTTCACAGCTACTGTCACATCTGTGTTTTCATTGTAAATGCCATCGCGCCAGCTGGTCCAGCTGGTAATGAAAAGGATTTAAAGGAGGACTCGCTCCTGATTGCAGTTCACTTACCGATCCAAATCGATACTGGGCACCAAACTGTAGACCTTTAGGTAGCGCTTGCTATTCCTATACTCCTCGAATACCTTGAACATCAGGGTGAGACTGACGTTCAGGAAGTCCGACTTCATTCTGCCGGTGCCATTAATCTCATATAGCAGGACTCTGCCCTTCTCGTGAAAGGTGGCTTCATGGTGGATTCGAGGAAAATGGACCCTTAGCACGATCTGTTTCTGGTTGGGCTGTCGCAGGAAGCCCTCCACGTGGGTCACTGTGGCGTTGTTTGTGCCGCTGACTACATTGTCCTCCAACCAAAAGTTTATCCAGATGGGCCCCCGGTAAGGCGAGTCCAGTATGGTGCAGTCGGGAAAACTATGCTTATCTAGGGGCGGCAGACCGATCTCGGGAATGCCCTGAGGGTAGTGCTTGATCAGCGCATTGATGGAGCTAGCAATACAGGCAGACTGCCCGAATCGGCACTTCTTCACGTCTGCAGCTGGAAGTTTAGGGATCAGTAAGTGACTAATTTCCGTGGATTGAAAGGCCTACCCCATACGCACGTAGGTCAACTCCGGAGGCTACATCGGATAAGTAGATATAAATGCTAAGCCAGGTCAGTGGATACAACCGGTTCATTTCGCTGATGGGTTTCAACTGACTTCAAAACCGTATCCACTATAGTCACGATATAATAAATATTAATATCAATAAATACTAGAAACCTGCTTCAGAAAAGCTTTCCAACAATCTGCAATAAATTACATAACTGACTAGCATATAGGAAAGTTAAGTTAGTTAATCAACTAGGCAACCGGTTTACGAGCAATATTAATCTGTGTCCTTATATGTCTCCAATAAAACTGCAATACAATAAAAATAATTTCATGCAGACTCTTTGTATAATGGGAAAAACATGTTATCGGAGTAGAACTTAACTCAGTATTAACATTTGAATTATTTTAAATCATAAATATATTATTTGATTTACTCGACTATCAGCGGTTACCAATCCTTAGGTATAAACTTAATGAAAAATTCTTAAACGATATATGTATCTAAAGTACCCTATAGGCCCGATCGTATATCTAGATCGGGTAAAAACATGTCGTCATAGGCCACATTCTGGAACACCCTATTCAGTAAAGTGGTAAAGGCTGTTGTGAACGATTTGATCAGACCTGGTTGTAGCTCATTCCAGAACTCTAGCCAATTCACGTTGAATATGCGGTTCAAAGCTATGGTCACATCCATGTTTTCCTTATAAAGGTCATCAAGCCAGATGATCCAACTAGTAATGGCATAAATTTACTAAGGAGGACACACCCCTGCATATAGTTCACTCACCGATCCAAATCGATTTTGGGTACCAGACTATAGACCTTTAAATAGCGCTTGTTATTCCTGTACTCCTCGATCACCTTAATGGTCAGGGTGAGACTGAAGTTTTGGAAGTCGGACTGCAACCTGCCGGTGGTGTTGATGGCGAATAGAAGGAACCTCCCCTCCTGGTCGTAGGTGGCGTCATGCAGAAGTCTCGGCACATGGGCCTTCAGAACAATTTGCTTTTGATTGGGCTGTCGAAGGAAACCCTCCACATGGGTAACAGTGGCGTTGTTAAAGCCCCGGTGAACATTGTCCCGCATACGAAAGCTTAACCAGATGGGTCCCCTTTGCGTCGAGTTCAGAATGCTGGTGTCGGGAAAATGATACGAGTCCAGGCGCGGCAGGCCGATCTCCGGAATACCCTGAGGGTAGCGCTTAATCAAGGCATTGATGGAGCTAAGGATGCAGACAGAATCTCCGAATCGACACTTTATCACGTCTGCAGCTGTAAGTTAAGGGTTCAGTGAGTGACAGATCTAAGTGGAAAGGTAGGCCTATCCTACGCACGAAGGTCTGCTCCAGAGGCAACATCGGGTATATGGATATAGATGCACAGCCAGGTCAGCACATACAACTGTTTCATTTCGCTGGTGGGTTTCAACTAACTTTAAAGACGTAAACACTTTAGTCACGATACAATAATACGCCACAATTACTAGCAGGAACCTGCTCTAACGAAGCTTTCCAACAATACGCCTTAAATTAATTGTGTAGCACATATGCAAGTTAATGCTAATCAAGTGATGCAACCGGTTAAGTATCTTTGTCCTTATATGGCTCCAATAAAACTGCAATGTAACCGTCTATTCCGATTTCAATCATTTACTTCAGACTCGTTGTACACCGGCAAGAACATGTCGTCGTAGGAGACCTTTTGAAAGACGTCCTCGAAAATGTCGCGAAAGACGCTTGCAAAAATTTTAAGATTTTTAGGCTCCAATTCATTCCAAAATTCCACCCAGTGTTCATTAAACACTTTGTTAATGGCAATTGTTAGATCCGTATTTGATTCGAAGAAGTTGTCCAGCCAAAACACCCACCTGGAAAATAATCTCTATTAGATTTCGAGAGTAATCTATAGAACCGATAACTCACCGATCCATGTTGACGAACGGAGTCATCTCGTAGATCTTCAGATAACGCTTGTTGTTCCGATACTCCATGATCACCTTTAGCTTGAGGACAAAGCGAAAGTTCTGAAAGTCCGAAAAGGACTCCCCCGTCGAGTTAAGCTCTATGATCCATACTCTTCCCTGAGAGAAGTAGCTACCCTTGTGGATGAGACTCGGTATACGGCCATGAATCTCTATCAGGCTGGAGGTGGGATTCTCGTCGAAGCCACTAACCTTCGTTATCGTCGTGTTCTCGAAGCCATAATTCACCTGATTGAACAGATCGAAATCCAACCAAAAGGCGCCGACTTTCTCGTCGTTCCAGAACTTGGAGTTTCTAATGTCCACCACATCAATGGGTTTCAGCCCCAACGCTGGTATGCCCCTGGGAAAATTCTTTATCACAGCATTGATGGACTTCACAATGCATTCTGATTCCCCAAAGTGACACCTTTTGATTTCATCGGCTGTGTGTTAGAAAATAAATAATATTTTAAGGCTCAGTGAACTATGGAATCTAAAGAAGGGTCCTCGTTACCTACGTAGTATCTGACCCTGCAGCGCAACGAAGAGCTGCAGACACAGCAGACTGATGAATATATCACGCATTCCTATATGGTTAGTCTCTGCAACTAGTATTCCAAGTGCACCTCCAGTACCTCCAGCCGTCAGTTCACATATAAAATTGCGAGGTGGAATAACAACTGGGACTTGGCTAAACTATCGACTGCCTCTAGAACCGGTTCCAAGCTTCACTGGATCCATTTGCATTTTCAACTTGAAGAGCTCGGAAGTCTTCAATGAAAATTGCCAGGTCAATACTAAAAATTAAGATTTTCTATTACTTTTACATCAAAATTCATTTTATATTCTTTATATTCTTTATATCTTAACTGGTTTCAAGCAATTCACTTTAAAAGAATGATATACTAATCATACATTTATAATAAATATGACTAAGGAACTGAACTAGAGAAGGCACTTTTCGGAAAATTCTGAACCGCTAGCTGAATGTATCCTCGATTAAATTAAAACTCTTTTAAAAATACTAAAATAAAAAGCCCTTGATTAATACGCTTGTATTGCCATCTGGGGAACAGTGATAAACTTTGGAATGTCGAAAAATGTACCATTGATTACACAACCAGAGCTTTGCTCAGTTGAATCAGCTTTAGGATAGATATATCTGGAAAACATTCTGCGTTGGTAGATGTCAAGCTTAAAGCAGTCAATTGGTCATTAAATGCATTACATTAGACATATAACCCGCATATCATTCCCAGGTTTCTAAGGCCAACAAACCAAGCAGGAATGTGCTAATGTCAGCAACCAGTTTTTATAAAAGTTGTTATATATTCTCTATCACGAAATCACTGATCAATTGTGGTGTATATACATTAAGAATACTATTTACATTATTTTATTTCTAACTACAACTAACAACATTGCACTTAATTCTAGATTGACTCTATTGGGACATCTTCTAGGAACAAATCATCATAGGGCACGTTGTCAAAGAGATCATCGATCATGCTGCGAAAGACTGTTTCGAATAGACGAAGGATGCCTGGCTCCAATTCGTTCCAGAACTCTACCCAATTTCGATTGAAAAGATTGTTGATCGCTATAGTCAGATCAAAGTTATCCGGAAAAAAGTTATCCAACCACATAATCCATCTTTAAAGAAAAGATAGAAATAGAAGAGAATTTTATATATGATCTTATCATTATTACTCACCGGTCTAGTCTAATATTTGGAACTAGCTCGTAGATTTTCAAATAACGCTTGTTATTCCTGTACTCGATGCGCACTTTTAGAGTAATGTCAAACCGGAAGTTCAAGAAATCCGAATCAGAGGTACCCTGCGAGTTGATGTCCACAAACCAGAGCATCCGACCCTTGGCCAAATATTCGCCCTTGTAGACCAGACGCGGGATCTTGCCATGGATCTCGATCTTGGTGGCAGTGGGATCCTTGTCGAAGCCCCGGATCTCAGTGATCGTGGTGTTCTCGAAGCCGTAGTTGATCTGGTTGATCAGCTCGAAGAAGTACCAGGCCCCGCCCACCTGGGAATCGTTGACCAGCAGCCAGTCCCGCACCGGTAAGACGTCGAAGGGTTTTATATTGAGCTCAGGAATCCCCTTCGGATACTTCCTCAGCAGATCATTGGCCGTCGCCGTCAGGCACTGGCCATCACCATACTTGCACTTCTTTAAGTCGGTCGCTATGGAAGAGAGCGTTGGTTAGGCGTTGGTATTCGCTATGAGATGACGGCATAATCACTCACGGAAGCTCTGACATTTCACTCCGGCATACAGCTGCAGGCTGACCACCAGGTAGGCCAGGTAATGCATCTCAAAGAGGGATTAATCCTATGCAACGTCCGCTTAAGCTTTCAGTAGTCCGATGCACTTGCGTAGCCGATGGCAACTACTCAGCCAGCAAAAACAGCTTCGCTGTTACGGCGGAACATTTATAAGGAAATCCAACACAGGTGCCATTATCATAACGTGTTCTATATGGGGATTGCATGATATATAGTATGCTCACTGAGGAAAATGCTCATTTTAATCCGGAAACAAAGAACAAACAAGTAAGAGCCAGAAGATTATTAGAAACTGCTATTAACTACTTATGAATATATGTAGCTGACAAATTGTTATAGAAATTCCTCTAAAGTTTTTACTATATTAATAGAAGTTCCTTTAAATTGTTCCCAGTGCCTTGATAAAATAATTAACTGATTGACATTAACATTGCACCATTAATCTAGTCGCTCTATATGAGATCTGATCTGAAAAGCTTCTGCTCTTGAGAGCTTTGCCTGGTATTGTTTATCTTTAATAGCAGTTGGAAGATTTCTCAGAAAAAATTAAAGATCAATATAAACTCGGATGCTGTTTGGGATCCAAGGTACGTAATTGATTACAACTGACCAGGAGAGCAAGTACATTATTTATAACTTGAGGTATTTTATTGCCACTGACAACATTTTTAAATGAAATTATTATTTTTATAGTTCGAAGCTGGAACTGGCTTAAAAAGCTTTTACTCTTTTATAGTAGAGTTGAGTTAAATGTAGGATAAAGAAATATAAATAATAAACTCAAAAGCTGTAAGCAAACTAAAAATTCTTCTCTTTAAATGTCACATTAGTCACTATCCGAATACAATACCAAAATCAGTTAACGAAATAAATTGATACTTTAACAGCAAATAATAAGGAAACCAAATAAGGAAGGTAAGCAGCGTAATAATTATATATAAAGTAGCAGGGTTACATTACAAGAACAAGTAAACATGTTTATTTAAATTCTATTCTACATATTACTAATTATTAGGATTATATTGATTAAATAAATCACTATTAAAAGTAAAAAAAAAAGAATGCGCTAAGAAGAATCCACTTAAAATTCACTAGAAAATGAATAAATGATTAAATTATGCCTTAATATTTGAGGTTACATATAATGGTTCCCTATAACTCCCTATAGAAGTCGTCATATGACAACTTATCAGCCACGCGCTTCAGAATCGTCTCGACCAGTCGATCTACCGTCGAGCTGATACCCTTTCGAAGGGTATGCCAAATGTCCAGCCACTTGCTATTGGCCACAATGTTCATGGCATCGCTCAATTCCGGATTATTGAATAGATTCTCAAAGTTCAGATGCATGCTGTAGGGGAGACGGGAACCCATATATCAAGTGAAAATTGTCATCATTGAGAAAACCTTACCCCTGCAGATCCAGCAAACACTTGACCTTGGCAATCTCGATATAGCGTTTGCTATCCTTTCGAAGTTGCTCCAGGGCCCTGACCTTGCAGCGAAAGCGTCCCTCCTTGATCTCCACCTGAGCCTGGCCCTTTCCCTGAATGGGCATGTTCAGGAGACTGCCGTGCATTTCGTAGTCTCCCTCGAGCTTCAGCAACGGAACCCATGCACTCAGCTCCAGGACCCGCGGCAGCTCACCGTCGAATCCTTTTGCCTCCATTACGGTTGTGTCTTCGAGCCCCCTCACAGTTAAGTTGCGGAACTTTAGATCCAATGTTGACGGGCTATTCGGTTCTATTTGACTAACGATGACATTCTCGAATTTAACAGAGTCCAGGGATTGCAGACCGATAGAGGGTAGACCCTTGGGATACAATCGCAAGAGATGGGTCACTGTCTCCGCTATGCAGATGGAGTCGCCAGCCTCGCATTTCTCGATTTCAGGAGCTAGGAACTACACAGGTAAAACGGACAGTATTCCCTGGAATGCACTTTCACTCACGCAATTGTCCCGAAACAAGTGATATCCACAGAAAGCTAATAGCTATGATTAACCTCATTTCCATTCGATTTCGGTGGCAGCTAATTAATGGATGCGCTTGCGACTTACTGTTCGCTTTTATATGCCACCAAAAGTCCGCTAAGTGCATATGCAAATCCAACTAATAGTCACTTAAGTGAGAATAGATATATATTAGATATATCGACACGGCCAACGGGCCACACCTGAGATCAAACACGCTATAGACAGATCGGTTCAATGAGGGTCTCCACTGAACGATTTAGGCGATAATTTCACTTTCAGTAACTGACTAATCGGCTAGTTAGCTGGCAAAATAATTACTCCCTGTAATTAACTAATGAACCTGATGTAATAACGTGAAATCCCACCCCATGGGTTGGCTTCAACTCGGGCTAAAGGTTTACAGATACAAATCAAATACGCCAGATACATGATTTTTCTAATAGTTTATTACAAATATTATTTATAGCGATTTTTGTACACAACAATTTTTAAAATATTTTAATTTATATAGCTAGCTAGGAGAATGACGAACTCCTCTGGACCATTCGTTTTCGGTAAAAAGTGCGACTTTAATGAGGGAGCTCTTAAGTAAGACACTACAAAATAAATACGATTAATTAAAAGATTAAAATTTAAAAAACACTCGGTACTTCATAAATAATCAATCATTCGTAGGCTCAATAATGAGACGCCGAATGATGCAGACAGATTTACATACGATTAGACGACAATTGATGTGGTTCGATTTACGCTCAGTTAATTTCACAGCCTTATTGTTAATAGACTTTATAATTATGTACTTGCTTTAGTTAAAAGTGCATTCAAAATTGCAAATTTCGACTCAGCTCATGGACCTCTCTGTCTCTCTGCACTCGATGCTGTAAGTTGTAAGTGTTGTTTCCCGTTTTTGGTATGCATTAAAATTAGAATTTTGATAACGTTTTACACTGATCCCGGGTCCTCTTGGAGGAACCCCTTAAAAGAAAGTATACCCGAAGCAACAACGAACGCCAATCCCGCCTCCCCTGCCGGCCAAGTCGCCAAATGGGTTGAACTCTATCTGCCCCAGGAAGCCTTGCCACATCGTGTCCGTTGTCGAGTGATTTGTTTCGGCGGCGGCATCCACGTAGCCAATCCGAATGCCACCGCTAGCTGAGAACCACGTGCTGCCCCCCATCCGCCTCCACCAGATTGCTGCTGGGGCAGCCGAGCTCATTGTTGTTGCTGTTGGTGAAACAAACCTCCTCACTGCCATCGGAATCAGTGCAGCACAGTAATGGCTACGCATCCTCGCCTTCCATCACGTCCGCCTCATGGTCGCCACTGGTGGCAATCCTGCAAGGGAGATGATGTGACATTGTTATAAATGAGTGATGATTGATGGGCGGATGGATGGTGAGTGAGGAGTGAGTGTGATTAAGTGTGTATAGAGTGCGATTCTCTAGTTAGTTCTTGATTACGTTAAAAATTTAAATTTGGTATGAGTAAAGAAGAATTTACATTTTTATTCAGAGGATAGGAATTAAAACTTGAAACATAATTATCCGGTTTTGGAAATCGCACTTAGTGGTCGTTCTCTCACTATTCTTAGTTTAACTTATAAAAAAATAATACAATTACAATCTACATAACGCTAAATTCTTATCGTGGCATGCATCATAATTTTAAACAAAAAGAGATCCCCCTAACCGTTACATAGTGCCTTGGTGACTTAATATGTTAAAAACTTTAAATTGGTAACTTTAAGGTTTGTAATAGGTCCATGTTTACAAAATAAGATTATATAATTCTTGAGGGTTAAAATATTAAATTAAATATTTAATATTAAACACTTCATAATTATTCTTTATTGCTTTTATGTTAGTATGTGTTTATCTGTGATCAATTATTTAATTTCCTTCATTTGCTCAGTTTGATTCAGTTTTTATTACAAGTGATCCAAACGATTTAATTTAAATTATGTCTTATTTAAGCCACCACTAATATTTAATTTACCTAAATTAATGCAATAAACTCTATATGAATTAAAATATTATCTTTAATACAAACATTAAGCCTAAAACATAAAATTTTCGAAGGCTCAATAAACAGTAATCACACACAAACAACGTTAAAAGCATACAAAGTAAAAACCACCAACAAAAAAAACATTAAAAACCAATTATTCATTTATTGTTGCCTGAAAAAGAGAGAGGGGATAGTTTTATGAAATTCATTTATTTCTAGAGGCAATAAATACGTCTACATTGTAACATCTAAAAAGTACATCATGATCTATATTAATCTTTTAATATCAACAATGTGTGTTCAGAAATGGGGAAGGTAGTACGTACAATCCGTTAAATAAATAAAATACAAGGATAAGGTACAAAAACTAATGGGAACATACTTATTAAGCAGGATCTTATTGGGACTTAGGGTTCTTTACAACATTTACAGAAGGTTAAAAGAGATTCTATTTATTTATTTAAAATCGATCAAAGCAGGCAGAAAGTAGAGGGCTCTTAAGACTACCTTAGTTGGCTTCGTTGGGTGAGATTCTGATTTGGATTCTGCATAGAGGATATAGCGTTTCCATTATCGTTAAGCGTCAGCTCGCTATATACAAGATATGTAATCAGGATCAATCCAGAATTGGTGTGGCAGTAGCAGTAGTTCACGGTGAGGGATCCCCAAACAAAGAGAGAAAATCAGTTTTTTTTTCACCATCAGCACATTTTTTGGGACGTGGCACATTTTCGAAGGGGTTTTGAATCGAAAATGGATTTTAGATTGGTTATCTATTAGTTATTCTGGTGATGATGGCACGCGTTCTCTAATCGATCGAAATTTTGGCACATCAATTAGGTACATTTGTGTTTTGCCTTCGTTTATGTTGCATTAAAATTTTGCAAATTATGCGCAATTCTTCAGACATCAATTTAGAATAAATTCATACGGATTCGATTTGGAAAACATTTTCAATTTGTTTGTATCAATCAATGCCAAACAAAATCCATTTCCACATAAATAGAAAATACATTTTGGTTGTCGCGTTGTGCACGTGTGTGTGTGTATGTTTTCAATTTTAAATAGTTGGTTTGTTTTGTTTTTTTGTGGTATTTCGTTTTGTACATTTCAATTAGCCACAAATGAATGGAAGCATCAATCAATCCAGAAGACACCGAGTATAAGAATAGATCGGGTGGTGTATAAGAGTGTACAGATACAGAGAGATAGGGAGACAGTGGTGAAACACAGAGACGCACATATGGAATACAGGGTTTCCAAGTACATATAATAAAAGAAAATGTCACGATAGAAAATTAATTGAGTACAAGTTTAGTGGGTTTTAGAAGGTAATGATAAATGAGCCACGCCCAAAGTGCTTTTTGATGCCCAAATACCAACCAATAGTAATAATATATTGCGAAATCATTAAGTTTAAGCTTAAAGTGTTCTTAAAACTAATATATAATATCTTAAAAATCACTTATTAGATGGGTAGTCCTTAGCTTAGACCGTGTCCTTTCCGCCATTGGCATTAATCTTGGCAGTTAAGTCTAAATACCAATTAACAATACAATTGAAAGACTTTTCTTGAGTAGTACTTAGTGGTAAATGCAACTTTATTTAACATGCTAAGCGCCAGAAGCCCTATGAGTATAGATAATACCCGTTGCTTGATAAAGCAATCAGTGATGACTTACCAGGAGCACGCTTAATACCTATAGGAGCCCATCGTTGATGGGTAAATGCTTTCTATGTATATACAATCGTATGTGGTTCCCCTAGAGACGTGCCTTACAAATTCTAAGGGTTGCGGAGAGCCCTACTAGGTACTTGTTAGTGGTGTTAAGCGTGATTTAGTGTTAATATCACAAGAGGGGGTGTGTGTGTTTTGTGTGTGTGTGGGAGGAGTCTGGCCTGAACGAGTCACCGGGTTGGATGATTCAGTTTGGCACTTTCTCCGAGACGGTATCGAGACCTTTCACCGTGTTAGTAGCTGATTCGCCTACAACTAAGGTTACATCACTGTGAAGAATCGAGAGAAGAGAGCATAGCAAGATACGTTTTGGGTATTTAGTTAAGGTTCAGAAGTCGTAACCAGATGTAGATTAGTCAACGTTGAGTTTGATTTGCTTACAGATGGGTATAGGAGTAGGAGAAATAAAAAGAATCACAGCCAATTTGGTTGAGAAAAACAGTGCAGGTAAGAACGGAATCACAAGCTAAAGGTTGGAAATTAGAGTATATAGATAGCTGCTAAGCTACCAAGGAAGGAGATGCAGATCGAGAAAGTGTTTGTGCATTGGTGTATTTGTGTGTGGTGGGTGGCAAAGTGGTGGGGTTGCGAGATTGAATTCGGTTAACATACCTGGCATACGTCGAGTTAGCGTTCTTTATCGAAAAGCTGTTCTGGCTTGGCAACACGAAGCGCTGCACCCACTGTAAACAGAGAATACTTTTGAGTACCAGTTGATGGAGTCCCCAAAGTCCCCGAGTACCCAAGAACCCTATGCGGTCCCAGTCACGTAAAATGATAAAGTCAACCCATTGATGGCAGTATCAGCGATGCTTAAAAACGTGTCAAAGAGTCCAGACTAATTTGTGATTCCCTAAGCCCTGCTGATAAGTGTCCCGGCCACAACTCACCCGACTGTTCATCAGACGCTGATTGCCCATACAGGCGGCCATGTGTATCACAAGGTATAGGTTAAAGAGTATGTACAAGATGGCAAATATACCTACAATTATAAAGGGAAAAAACTCTCATAAGCAAGGGCATACGTGTTGATAAATATAAGTCACTCACAGACTAGAGCCAGCAAGCCGCCTTCTATATTCATGGCCTCCACCTGCACGACCACAAAGTACAAATTGACGCCAATCACCACAATGGTTAACAGTATGGAAACGATTTTGTTGCCCCTGCAAATACAAACAATTAAGCCCTGCCCAGAGTACTAATCTTAATCAACTCACAATCCATTGACAAACTCGCCCATAATGGCGGCACACGAGGTAAAGGCAATAGTGGGAATGGCGGCAAACGGCAGCTGAAGCGACATCACAGCATTCAGGATGTCATTCATGTTGGTCAAGTCCTCCATCTTGCTGAACATCGCTAGGCAGAACGTGGGAATGATGGCAATGCATCGCGTGACCAGCACACGACACCAGCGCGGCCACTGTAGATTGAGGAATCCCTCCATGGAGAACTGGCCCGCATAGGTGCCCGTCATGGTAGAGCTCTGACCAGCGGCCAAAATGCCGACGCCCCAAATGTACATGGCCACGGCGCCGAAGGTGCAGCCCAAGAAGAGGCCGCCCTTGTACAGATCCGCATCAATGATGGCCGTGCCATTTTGGTTGTCCACAAACGAGGTCACAGCATCCTCGTACATCGATTTGTTGACGCACACGTCAATCTGACGAGAACATGGGAACCTAATCACGATCTGATTCTTAGTCAAACCATCCTCTTACTTACCACATCCTTGTTCGTTTTGCCATACATGCCATGGGCAAACACCGCCACCACAAACAGATTGATAATGAAGGACACGAACAGGGCTACCGAGGCCTCTATGAAGAAGTAAAAATTCGCCTCGCTTACTTTCTTTGGCTGACGTCGATCAATGTCGCGGGACTGTCAATGAAAAATTGAAATTAAGTACTATGTCTTAATTAAATATATATATTGTTATCACCTTAACCAAGGCCGAATGCAGATAGAGATTATGGGGCATAATGACGGCACCGACAACGCCCACCGCCTGCAGCAATACATTTGAATTGCAGTCGGAGCACCAGGGCACGAACATTCCCTCGAGAACTTCTCCTTGGTTGGGGGCTGACACAATATACTGAAATATAACAATAATATATGAAAAACTTTATAAAAAACTTATACAAAATCCCTTAAGAATTGTACTAATCTAATTTTGACAAGCAAATATTTATTTGTAATTGTAAAAAATAACAAAAAAAAAAAAACACACAACGAGCGTAGAAAAAATTCCCCACGGATATCTGTAGCATTAAATAACCACCCAAAACGATAAGGTCTGAATTGTTTATCCCATATGGAATTGTGTGCCATTTCCGGCAGCATCATCGTGTGCTGCTCGGCCAACGGCAGATGTAGTGTCCCACCGAATGTGCAAGTGCAGCTTATCTAATCATCTGTGTCTCCTCCGCTGACTCTGACAGACAGCTCAAGAACAATTACTTATTATCTAGGCTGTAAATAAACTGTAGCTCACGTAGATTTACGAGGAGAAAAATATAAAAATTGGCCCCGCTGAAGGGTTTGGTTTAGCAATTATTGCTTTACTTTATCGACAAACGCCCCTGAAAAAGGGTAGTAAAGCTATTTTCAGCTTGTGACAAAGCGGGGAAAAACGCAACTGAAAAGTCTAACTGATATATTCATCCTATTTTATGACACAGTTGTGTAAACAATTACTATTTGCTCTCAAGTCTGGATAAAATACATTCTCTTGATGCTATTTGGCAAGGGGGATTTTTCAGGGATTACCTATACAGATCCCAACCAAAAAATAATAGGGGAACTTTTTCGAATGCGATCTCGAGGCTTACCTCATAGCCGAATGAAACAGCCATGATGGTGATGAGGGAACCGAATAGGAACTCCAGCTTGCGTAGACCGTATTTGTCCAGAAACAGGAACGTGAACGTGTCGACAATGGTAATCAACACGCCGCCCCACAAAGGCACTCTACAAAAAGAAATAATGAAATGATGAGTGTGAGGGAATCCCAACCCTGAATATCGATATGCTTACACTTTGTTGGACAACAGGTAAATGGCAATGGCTGTGCCAATGACCTCCTGCATATCGGAGCCAATGATGGCTATCTCAATCATGATCCACAGGATCCATCGCGGCAGCCTCTTGTACTGTCTGTAGCACATCTCGGCGAGATGCAGGCCCGTGACCACGCCCAGCCTGCAATAGAAATTGTATTTACACTTCTGGAGCGGTGATAGGCACTCTGCACTCACCTTGCGGCCAAGCGTTGCATGAGGAGACCCAAGACTGTGGCCCAGAGCAAAACCCACAAGATCTTGTACTTGGCCGCGGCGCCTGACTGAAGATCGGATTCTATGTTGCCGGGATCCAGATACGCGATGGACATGAGAAAACCGGGTCCCGTGAAGGCCCACAGCTTGCGAAAGCTGAAACCCACCTGCGGAAAATACAATAATTTAGATCGAACATATATTTACTTATCTAGTTATGCTCACATTTGTGCGATCATCGTCGGGTATCAGGACCTTCTCATCACTGAAGTAGGCCTGCTTGGCGGCGGGTTTCAGATAGGTCGTCTCGTTGAGTATCTGCTGGTGGTGCAGCTGGTTGTTGCGCTGACTGCCTCCAGCTGATCCACTGGAGGATCCGCCCGGACCATCGCCACTACCAGCGCCCGCACCCGGATCCGTGTTTTTGTGGTAGGCCTCATTCGAAGACATTCTGAAAGGAATGTGAAATCGGTTAGGTCACATGCTCCTATTTCTGTCCAGTTCCCGCCACAGACTGATCTCAGTTAATGGGTGTTGTTTGTTCTCGGATTGTTTCACCTGCCATTCGCTTATAATTCTCACAATTTTCATTTAATTGTGCCTGTGCATGAGATTTTATCCCAATTAGCATTATCATAACGCAGACAGCAAACAGACGATAGAAATTCGCGCTATATAAATGTAGATTTCGGCAAAATAAAAAGTTATATGGCAATTTGAGACCTAAATGTTCTATTTCGTATTCAGACAGTTTCATCATCGCCCAAAAACTGAAGCCAAAATAACACGTTTTGTGTTTTCCCGGAACGTGCGTGGCAAAAAATAATAAAAATAAACAACAAATATATATATGTGTACTTTGAGAGCCACTGAAACTGATAACAAACTATAGTTATATATATTATTGGATTATAAGTACACCATACAGATGAGGAAATAAACAAAGCCTTATGAATCAGCGAGACAGTTATTAAAATTCCTTTATCCAATTTAATCAAGTGAGCTTTGGAATATTGAGCAACCATTTAGATATGACTTGTTAAAAACAACCGAATTGCGAGACTATTGACCTGCGTATATCAATATGCATTTTTGGGGCTCTGCTTTGTGAATGATAAAACCCGATTACAAGTGCCTGAGCAGCAGAGACGGAGAGCTCTCCAAAACATATGTATTGTTGGAAGCACCGCCAAGTGGTTCACCTTGACAAAACGCTGCTGCCCCACTGATGCTACATATATCTCTGCTGTATGGCTTTCCACATCGCTTCATTGATGACGGACAAAGACAATGAGCATTAATTAAATATATACACACAGAACTTTCAATTTGAAATTATTATTTTACAAATGAAGGGTTCTTCTTAAGCTGGGACTCCTGGGTCAAGTACAGGTATTAATCGGAATTAGTATTGACCAGGCTTTTTATGTAACTTGTAAGTTGGCCAAATCAAGGCGCCATTAATGGAGCTCTAGCCGGGTCTTTTAAGGCAAAGCGTAACGAAACGACTTTAATCTGTATAGTGCTGGTTAGAATATAAGGTGTGTGCCTGTCACAGCATATTCTATTAGATGTTTACCCAGTTGCACGGCAATCCGCACGCCCCCATCCATAATATACATATACCGATAACCGTTAACAGCTACGTGTTCGACAACCGGAAAGCTCCATTGGGCCTACTATTTTAACAATTTTGATTGTGCAAATCAGACACCATATATTTTGATAATTGTAGAGCAGACAAATCCGCCATAATTTCAGAGCCAATGCCAATTAAGTGAGAAAATTAAATGTCGTCGTCGTTGAATATTGGCTTTGTCCACGTCCACGGTCGCGAATTGTGTTTATTTCGGGAAAAATGAATATTCAAAAACTGCGTAGCATTGTGCGCAGTCAGCAAAGAATGCATAAAAAACACAAATACAATTTAATTTGTAGCTGGCGAAACAAAACACTTGACAACAAAACCGAAAATATTTTTCTAAACAAAGATAACAGTAATTCGAAAACAGAAGAGCAATAATTATTCCACTTATCAGTTAGCACACACACATCGCAATTAGATTGTTAATTTTTGCTTAAGGCCATTTTTGCGAACAGTGCTTAAGAAACAGTAAATATGTGCTTTCTTTGTTAAAATACATGGCGGTCTTAAAGTATTTTCTGGGGGAAGTGGGAAGCGCTGGCAATAAACACAGATCCCTCTGTATTCCCCCCGTATATTTATCTGGGAAACTAACCCATTAAATTTAGGGATTTACAAGTGCGAGACGCTTATCAACAAACAATTGTTTTACGCTTAAGAACAAGCCCCATATTGTACATTTATCACACTCTCTTTGCCGGTGTAAGAGAGGGGGAGAAGAGATTGAGAGCGCTGCTCTTGAAACAATTTGGACAATTGCCCCACGTTTTGTTATTAGCACACACCTGCGTGCGCACGCACACACACACTCACACACGAAATACTGGCGGAGGTGTAAATTATTGGATAACTTAGGTTAGCACAACTAATTGATTGTAGTTCCGAGTGGTAAAATCGGAGCGCGCGGCTTTATTATATCACACGGAGCACTGCCTATAAATGCATTTTCCGAGACTTTTCCCCGCCCGAGAACCAATTGACGAATTCGATGACGTTGGACGGTAGGAAACAAAAGCGAAATAAGAGAATCGACGAGGGCCAGCGCGACTGCTTCGACTGCCAATTGTTCACTTAGTTAACGACAATTGAGACGAGACCGCACCAGCAATTTATGCTCTGCCTGCGAGCGCTGCTCTTTTGTTTATTAATTTTTCTCGCAATATTGTGATTCCTGCCAGCTGCTTTCTTTCGCTTTCGCACGCACACTCACTCGCATCGCTCACGCACGCACAATTGCCCGCTTTCGGGCGATGTGGCAGCTCTCTTCTTTGTTCGAGCAAACTGGTGGCAACACTTGAGCTTTTTCGACAATTTCTTTGGCGCCTGCACTGGTCATTTGCCGTTTTCGTGGGTGTGTGGAGTTCCAAGTACCTTATCGGCCCCAACTGTAGTTTAACTCTGAGCCAACAGACGCTGCGCGATCGGAGCTGAGTGACTGCTGTGTTTGGTCGTAGCCGCTATTTATGCCAATTACTGCTCTCTACCGAGCTCGCACTGATAGCGGGCGAGAGCGAGTGGAAGAGAGCACTGGTGTTTTGAAGGGGGATTTTCTGATAGGGCGCCGAAAATTCTTTGAGTGGCCAGAAAGACCGCCGCGGACTTGAAATTGACATTTGAAATACCGGTTTGTCAAACGGCCTCGTCAATTTCTCTCTCTCTTTCTAGCTCTCCCAGTATCTCATTCTCTTTTATCACTAACCACAAGTAACCGTTAGTACTTTTAAGTCGCCCGGGCGTAATTACTAGTTTTATTCTCGTTTGACGGACAGTCATAAGTTAATACTCTCCACGTTGTGTCTAACACGCAAACTTTATCGTAATACCCGCACAAAATTAAATACGAATATAAATCAAAATTATCGCCGCAACTCAACGATTTTCTGACACTCTTTCCGATTGCCATCTGACGCCGAATAATCACGATAAGATTTATCAATTACCCGATTCTTTTTCGGCTGTCACACAAATTTACAACATGGATGTTCTTACTTTAGTTCTTTAACTGATGAATCAGCACAATGCAAAGTCTTTTTCTTTGTAGCAACAGCAACCAAATACATGTCTACATACATACCTAATATACATATATACATATGATATGATTCACTCTATATATTGGGCTTCATGTAAATTGTAAGACATTTCCTTATTTTGATAAGAAATGCATTCCATTTCCTTCTTGATATGCATTGTGTTTCCCCGCATAATTAGATATGAACCTAACCTATGGCAAGGCAACGTTTCCCAGCTTGACTTTTAGTAGTAAGCTTGCAATTCAAATCGCCCGCGTTCTTAAAGTAGAAAAAAGTTCAAGTTCAAAAACTTGAAATACCGTTATTAGTTATTAATAATTTTTTATTAATTATGTATTTCTTTATCAAAAGAGCAGACTTTTTGTTGTGACTGTCTTCAACATTAGATCTCACCTGACGCGGGAAACTCTCGTAGACTTTATACAATTTAAAACGAGCAAAATCGTTACTTAGTACATCAAACTTCATAGTCAACGCATAAAATATGAAATGAGCATTTTATGTTGCAGTAAATGTTGCCCATAAATCGCTTAATTGAAAACATAAATAGCATGCAGTATTTTCTTGGGAAAATACACGATTTAAATACATAGTAGAATGTAAAATGATATTTAAAATATGGAATACCTCGATTGGTTCTAACGCTGGCATCAAAAATACAATAATAATTTTAAACTCTAGCCGTTCGTTGCACATAAAATGGAGGGATTGGGATTAAAGGAAAACAATGGATATGCGTGATGGGAGGAAAAGGTAGCAAAGGTAGCAAATCGGTACTAAGTAGTATCGTTAATGTTAGTAGGTAAATACAGTTTGATTTTGTTCTATCGTGAATCTCATTCGGAAGCATTTAAGAGGAATTTTGACCAACAACCTGCACATAGTTTGCCGGGAAGAGGCCGTATCGGTTCTTGCACAAGCCCCGCCACCAGCCGTCGTCAATCTTTTCGATATGGGTGATGACGTCGTCCGGATCAAAGGAGATCTCGTCGTCGTCGGCAGCCTGGTAGTCGTATAAAGCGATAGCATGTATACCAGTGTCTTCAAGGTAGTCAGCCAGATTGTCAGAGTTCGCATAAATGGCCTCCTCGACTGCTGGTGCTGCTGCTGCCTCAGAAGCTGCACCATTTGTAGCGGGCAGCGGTGAGGCAGCCTTGACCTCAGCCTGGTTTTGGTACAGGGGCTCCTCTTCGATCACTGGCTCGGGTTCGGCTTGTGGTTGGGGTACAGGATCAGCTTGGGGCGTTGGCACATGCACTGGCGATTCCGGTTCGCTTCTGGGAGGCGTAGCTACGGTTTCCACCTCAATTTGCGGCACCACATCTGGTGGTGGTGCTGCAACCTTGGTTACTGGCGCAGTCTCCACTACTGGAGCGGGAGCACGATCAGGCGTTGGTGGTGCTGAGGTAGCAGCAGCTGGGACGGTTACTGGCTCTGCTTTCACCTCCACTTTAGCCGGCTGCGCCTTGGGAATGATGATGGGTTCCTTGCGAGCAGGTGGGGTCTCCGACACCGGCGACTGCATCTGGTTGAAAGCACTGATGGCATTTCCGATCCCACCAGCTCGACCTGTCTGGATAGCCGCCCTACTGCCCTTCGGAGGAGGCGTTTCCGTCGAGGTCCGGGGAGTGTTCTCCGCTACGGTTTGCTTGGCGGCTTCCTCGCGATCGCGCTTGTCCTTGGCTTCGCGCAGCCGCTTCTGCTCTTCGGCTCGCTTGCGAGACTCCTCCTCGGAGTTCTTAGCAAGGTTCTCGAACTTGGCACGCAGATTTGAGGGCTTTGCTCCTTCAATTACCGGCTTGACCTTGTGATCCACCTGGCTAGCGTGCTTTTGTGGGGCCTCGATGTGGTCCCAGCCCACGGCAGACTTGTCCTTCCGGTCTTCCTGCACCCCGAATTTGCCGCCAAATCCCTTGGAGTAGTCTTGGGGAAAATAAGGGTTTTTATTAATAATTAAAATTACTGGTTAAGTCACTTACCCTTCTGGGACTCGTGCTTCTCCACTTTTTCGACGTGATCCCAGCCCACTGCTGATTTATCCACTCGATCAGATTGCACTCCGAACTTGCCGCCAAAGCCCGTGGCGTAGTCCTTCTGAGAGGCATGCTTCTCCACCTTTTCGATGTGATCCCAGCCCACGGCAGACTTGTCCACGCGCTCCGACTGAACGCCGAACTTTCCGCCGAATCCATCGCTGTAGTCCTTCTGGGAAGCGTGCTTTCCCACCTTCCCCTGGTAGTCGTGACCCACAGCCGACTTGTCCATGCGGTCTTTCTCCACACCGAATTTGCCACCATAGCCATACCCAGCGTTCTGCTCTTTCAGCAGTTGCTTCTTCTTGTCCAGATCGGCCTTCTCTGTCTCCTCCCGCAGCTTGTCCATGCTAAACAATGAATAACGTAACCTGAGCTGGAATTCCACAGAAATCGATCAAAGCGCAGATGACTCACTCGATGGCGCCTGCAGTGCGACCGCTGCCGTCGATCGTTTTCGATCCCCAGCGCTGCTCCTGTTCGCTGACATCGTTGACGAAGTCTGGGTCCGTTTCCCAGTCGTCGTCCGGAGCGGCGCTGGTTTCTTGTATCTGGTGACCGGCCGTTGCCTTCCACATTCTGGATTCTCGCTTATCCTTATCTGCCGAAGATAAACGGGCACAGTCAGAGAGGGTGGGGAAAAGTGAACGGCAGGGCAGGTTCCGAGTCGATTCGTGGCCAGATAACGAGAAAAGCCGCCATAGATGGGAGGGGCCGACGCCGGAACAGTAAGCCAGCTGGAGCCTGGCGATATATACATATACTCACGTCCTGGTGACTAACTGCAAAAGCAACTGCTCGGCTAGTGTCTCGGTGGCTTTAAAATGTTCTGTAATATTGGGCGAAGGAAGAGAAAATAAACAATTGATTCATAAAGAACACTTAGAGATGGGTAAAAGCGCAATGTCGCTATACTTTATCGATATTTTTGGGATGTATTGCGAAGTCAAGCTATCGATTACGATTTGAAGGAATCAATGAGTCGTTTGTCATCAAATATCGAATTCGAATTCAAAAATAACCGGGAAATTTAAAATAAGATGCCAATTGTAAAACTGTCTGTCGATTTATAGTGTTTTCAGTATTTTTGTGTTATATTCCTTTTCAACGGTTTAATGTTTTTTTTTTATTAAGACAACGGAGGATGAGAGATTAAAAAAAATTGTTAAAAGTTAGAAAGAGATTGGATGTTATCAACCTAAATAAAAATAATATTATTTTGCAATAGTGCAGTATCAATGTTCTTAAGCCAAAGTGTAAAATACTATATGTATAAACGTTCATTATGAAACTTATTGCTTTATCATATGCAGATATTTATGAAGATATGATTATTTTCCCAGTGTCGTCACCATCATTAAGCAAATATTTATTTACTTATTGCGGTTTCGTCATAGTTTCAACAGCTTCCAGCGGTGATTCATGCAAAGTGCTCTCTATAACGTTCAAGAAACTCAGGTGTTAGCTTAAGGCGTAGGAGAGAACTATCATCCAGGTGAGATCAAGTATACGACCATTAGACATTCGAAATACCCTACTAAACAAGCGAAAACATTTAAAACGTAAGGCTATTCAGACTCAGGAACATACTATATGCTTGGCACTAACTTACGCTCTCAACTGGTACCATGTATAAAAAGTTCTCTCCGTCTCTCTTGGATCCCAATCGCCGGCATTTTTGCTGCCCCAATATAAAAGCTTAGCAGTGAGCGCCAACCGACATAGTATTTATTCACATCGCTTGCAGTTCGCTTCGCCAGACTTGTACGTTGACCAAAATATATCGTTGGTATTAAATTCTGAGGAATTCGCTTGATAAAAGTTGTTTGTTTATTCCCGTTGTGCCAAAAGTCACCAAAGCCGAGTGCAAAGACAAGCAGAAAAGTGAAAAGAAAGTGTGTGCGTAGCAAATCAGAGATTTGTCGGGTCCAAGGGCGGCACCATTCGAGTCTTGTAAAATTCTGGGCGCGGCGCTAGAAGAATTCTCCAGAATCCAATCTACATTGGAGCAAGTGAGAAGAATAATCTCTCTCTATTTACTGCCCCCAATTCGAGTAAAAGAGTCGGAAAAAATACACAAAATCGCCAGCAAAAAATGACATCATCAAAGTGCGCTCTCTTTTAGCTTTTCTCGTTTTCCTCTCCTCTTCCCATTCGCAGACGCGTGTGACTTTTGCCTCATCTCCCACCTACTAAACTTTATAGTCGTTTCTTTTATCTTTTCCTATCTTTTGGGATGAAAAACGAAATTCTTCGTAAAAAGCATCCATTTTCTTCTCTTCCGCCGTCCAATTTAGTAATTCAATCAACTTCAATTGCTCTCCTAGGGAATAAGCTACAGTAAAACATGGGAGGTAGTGCCCCAGTATTAGTCATTTTTTCTCAATAAACACGTAGTGTTGCATTTGAGGTCGGGCAATTATACTAGTACACACACTACACCGGCATAGGTGTGTCATCAAGGTTTATTGCCAGGCGCAATAGTAATTGTGGAAAATTAAAACATTTATGAATTCAAATTCAAGGTACAGTCTACCTGAAAGAAGTCACTAAAAGCTTTTGTTTTTGAAGTTGTTCACACATAGTCACGAGTTTTACCCCATTTGGGAGCACTCTCTTTACTGGTCTCCATGAAGACTCATTTTCAAGTCATGTTCAAAGCTTCCAATTGACGTCACAAATGCTGTGAATCATTACTTGTTGTAATTTCAAATGTGTTTTCCATGTCATGATCTTGACAGAGCTATTAATAGATCACCATCATCGGATACGTCATGGTTGGGGTACATATCTTTAGTTCACTTTAGTTGATTTTCCAGTCTTAAAAAAATTCCAAAATCTGTTAAAGATTGAAAGAAGAATTCTAATTTATGACTCTATCAAAAGAAAAATGTCTGGGACGTACACGGAAAATAATTTAAGATAAATTCTTTGGGAAATAACACCGACTGTTTAAGAAAATACAATAATACATTTGGTTAAAAATTGTAAACATAAATTAAGACTACTTCTTGGACATCTTTAGCTTGCTATGTTCTTAGATATTTGTTTCTGTGTAGTTCTATACACGCATAACCGGTTCCAGCTTTGGCCAAAACATTTTTGTTTGTTTATAGCTTGATTGCAGAGGCGTTGGTAGTTGTTTCTTTTTTGTGGCCTGTTTGGAGCGTCGCCACGTCAAGTCTTTTATAATGCCTTTTTTCTGCTGCCTTTTGTTGACTTTCAACTTTGGCGGCAGCATAGAAAAGCAAACATATTTTCAGCTTTCCAGAGCGATCAGAAATTTCAATCAATTTATCATAAAGTCATTTGGGCCTATTGTTTTTTTAGATTATGTGAGCCTAGAACAAATCCCCACGGAGATAGTGTTCCACTTGACGACTGAAGTGGACAGGCCAGGGTATAGAATGAGGCGGTAGGCGGTCGGCGGTATGCATTTCCCAGAAGCTTTCTCTTGGCCCCAAACTAGCTGTGAGCCCGATGTGTTTCAAACCAGAACGCAATGAGCTCATCCGTTTATAAGGCCATTCCATTTCGTGTGGGTTTCCGAATGGGTTTGGTCTGGCCTATCACGAAAACTACTCTCGCACCCGGCAAAGGCATCCAGACAGGCCCGGTTCCTGCAAACTGAACTGAAAAGTAACTTTCACTTTCCCCAGAAAGTACGATGAACTTGGCTTGGGCCCAATACGAAACGACAACTAGAAAAAACAAACTACGGGGGAGAGAAAATCAATGGGAAGAGAGTGTTTTTAGCCCAGCGCCAGGCTGGCTACGGGGCGTATGCGTTATACGAGGGTTTTACGACGTTTGATGATGTCATCAGGCGGCAAGCAGGTCCCCGGAATAAAGGCCGGGCTCATAAGCTCTGAGAGTTGTAGCGTTTGACCTTGCCGGGGGTTAATTTTCTATCACGCTTTTGGTTTATTAGAAATCTTTGAGCTATTATTCATAATGATTTTTCCACTTCCTACTTACAGATTTTCCACAACAAACCAACCAAAATGAGTTCCGCTGAGTACTACCCATTCAAGGTGAGTGTTTACAATGGATTGTATTTGAGGAATTAAAAAGAGGTGGCTCTGTGATGAGCTGGAGATTTATCAAACTCTATTATATGACGTGATTCATTATTCATTACACTCGGATTAGATTTTGTAGTTATTTCAAATATTTCCATTACATTTCGAATGAAATAAATAACCTTGATCGATTAGATTAGATTTTTAAGATAGAGAAATTATTATTTATTGATTGAAAATTGAATATTGTTGGGGCAAGTCAGTTGCTAAGTAATTATCTATAATTGGGCAATTAAATGTTCATCAAAGTGTACATAGGAGCTCCAGATAATTGTTGAAAAACAAGTCTTGCAGGAGAAGTGAGTAAGCTGATAAGAGAATTTCTATCAGAGGTCTCTCTGATGTGTTTAAAAATAGAATAAAACAAGGAATATCAATATAAAAGCGAAATTAGCAAAACAAAGAGAGGAGCAACTGTCGAACACAACAAAACAATCCCAAATAATATAAAATAAATTCCACCATGAATCACAAATACACCCTTTTTGGGATTACGTGCCTTGCATTTTAAAAAAACATATTATTCATGCATTACTCATGCATTTCGTACTAATTTTCCCTTGTATTTATTTTTGCGCAGTGCACACCCACCGTCTACCCGGCGGATCCCTTCGATCCCGTCGAGGATGCGGCCATTCTGCGCAAGGCCATGAAGGGCTTTGGCACCGACGAGAAGGCCATCATCGAGATCCTGGCCAGACGCGGCATCGTGCAGCGCCTGGAAATTGCCGAGGCCTTTAAGACCTCCTACGGCAAGGACCTGATCTCGGACCTCAAGTCTGAGCTGGGCGGCAAATTTGAGGATGTGATCCTGGCGCTGATGACGCCGCTGCCCCAGTTCTACGCCCAGGAGTTGCACGACGCCATCTCTGGACTGGGAACCGATGAGGAGGCCATCATCGAGATCCTCTGCACGCTGTCCAACTACGGCATCAAGACCATTGCCCAGTTCTACGAGCAGAGCTTTGGCAAGTCTCTAGAGTCCGACCTGAAGGGTGACACCAGTGGCCACTTCAAGCGCCTGTGCGTGTCCCTGGTGCAGGGCAACCGGGATGAGAACCAGGGAGTGGATGAGGCAGCGGCCATTGCCGACGCCCAGGCTCTGCATGACGCCGGCGAGGGACAGTGGGGCACCGACGAGTCCACCTTCAACTCGATCCTGATCACCCGCTCCTACCAGCAGCTGCGCCAGATCTTCCTCGAGTACGAGAACCTGTCGGGCAACGATATTGAGAAGGCCATCAAGCGGGAGTTCAGCGGTTCGGTGGAGAAGGGCTTCCTGGCCATCGGTGGGTTTACTATATACTTTATCCCTTAAATACGATAATCCTGTAATCACTTTTTAGTCAAGTGCTGCAAGTCCAAGATCGATTACTTCTCGGAGCGCCTGCACGACTCGATGGCTGGCATGGGCACCAAGGACAAGACGCTGATCCGCATCATCGTCAGCCGCTCGGAGATCGATCTGGGTGACATCAAGGAGGCATTCCAGAACAAGTACGGCAAGAGCTTGGAGTCCTGGATCAAGGTAAATACAGATTACTTCATCTATCCTAGTGTGTTTTGCTTAATATTGAATACTGCACCCCGTTAACACTTTAAATTAATTCGCATTCGATTGTCAAACTGCAATAACCACCATTAATCGCGGATCATCCTGCTGGTTTCTTTTTCCCCCTGTCGTTGTTGTTCTTGTACATTTTCCCCAATTCAAAAATTCATGCCACACACACCCCGTTGCTTTTCCGATTACTTCACTTGTGTGCATATAAGACATTAAAACCTGGCATATTCTATATTTTTAGGGCGATACATCCGGCGATTATAAGCGTGCCCTATTGGCTATTGTTGGATTCTAAAAAAGAAACTCCCAAAAACCAAAAAGAAAAAAAGCTCCAACAATAACTTTTACTTGTCAATGTCGTCAGTTCCACGCCCTAAATTACGTATTCTTAAACAAAAAAGAATGTACAAATACAATTCAGATATTTGATTAGTTGACGAATATATATAGATTTTATATACTGGAACAAGTGCGTAAAGTGCATTTAAAGCCGTTGAATCAGAACCCCAGTCTCGCATCCTGTTGATTATGATTACATTACAACGATACATTACTCTATGCACGCCACATGCACATTATTGTATTTCTATATAGCTGAATAGCTTATGGTTTTCTCTGTTTTTGTTTCTCTCGAGTCTCATTTGCAATATTTACATATAAACTTACAAAAAACGCAAAAAAATAAACAAAAATATGACAAAACGAAAACTTCAAATTGAGTTTCAGTTACTAACAGCGCTCTGTTAGTCGCCTAACATCACATAAATTAACCAAAAGGGGCGGCGATTGGTTTATTGATTAATAAGAGTTCGTGTGAATTTGGTACTTGATTCTACAATTTATTTAAAGTTAATTTGGTCCTTGATGTTAAATTTAATTAAATTATTTAAAAATTACAGATTTTATTACTTTTTAAAAGAGTTAAAAGAAATGCTTCAGACAATGTCTATGCACTGCTTGCTTTAAGTAACTTTTCAAAATGTAAAATGTTATACATTTTTACATTCATCAATTTAGAAGTGCGTTAAGCGTATATATATTATTTATGCTTTAAATAGTAAACTGTTATGGAATGTCTAGCTTTTCATAGATCAATTTTACACGAATATATATTTACCATCCCCTCCTACATGGTGTCTATATAACTTTTGTGGTGATAATCAAAATCTAAGCCATGTATACAAAGTAAAAAAAGCGTTTAATGCTTTAAACTTCTGCTCTTTTCACGCTTTATCTTTATCAGGAGGATGCCGAGACCGATATTCGATATGTGCTCGTCACTCTCACGGCTTGGTAGAGCCTGATGCAGCCAGAATACAAATATATATATATGCAATATATATATAGTGCTAAAATAGAAAATGCCAAAAAAAAAATGTTGCATTTCGATAACCAACGCAAAGAACAAATGAAATTATCCATTATATATTGTGATGTGTTCTAATATTCCGATTCGTAAATCCCCCATACCTATGTAGTATTTTCCCCGTCTAACGTCCCCAGTTGACTTTTCCAACAATTATTATTATTATTTGAACTTTTTACGTTCTTTATTTTGTATACATGTGTGTTTTTTTGTAAATTATTCAGCATCTTACTCGAATGTGTAGTTTTTGCTTATTGTATTAACTAATAAAGTTTGCTTACATTCAACGGAAACAACCATTTTAATGTGCCTTTCAGGACGATCTATCTGGAGACTATGGATACGTATTGGAGTGCCTGGCCTCCTACTAAGCGGAAGGAGGAGAACCTCCGCTGGAGCAATTTACACCGTTCGTTAACCTTGTATTTGTTGTAACGCTAAAAGCAAACTTTTCTGTGGGAAATTCATAGCCTATATTCAATTCATAAATGCATTTCATTAAATCATGAAAAAGAATCTTGTCTGTGCGCTTAACTAAGAAACTAGGGGCAACCGAAACCAGGGGAATGGAAATTGAAATTGGTATTTGAGGTTGGGAAATATTCAGAGTGTGGACCCTACTACTACTTGGCCACACGATCCTGATAGGCTGCCCACAGGCGATCACGGTATGTCTGAGCCGCCTTCTCTGGATTTGTGGCCTTCAGGATGCCCCGGCCCACCACGCCGATATCAGCACCGCGGTCCTTCACCACATGTTCCGGCGTCTGGTACTGCTGACCCAACTGGTCCGCGGTCTCGTCGATCTTAACGCCGGGGGTTAGCTGCAGCAGACCCGGAAAAGCAAAAGCATCCGAGGACTGACACACCACACCGGCCACAAAGTCCACATCGGCGCCCTCGGTGGCGATTTTATTGCTGCTCTCCTTGTATTTGGCATCGATTAGGTTGCCAGTGGCCGACATCTCGGCCAGCAGAAAGACGCCACGCTCCTTCGTGGCTCCTTGCTCGCCAAGGCCTGCTTTCAGACCTTGAAGAATACTGCGTCCAGGCAGAGTGTGCGCCGTGACCAAATCCGCCCAGCTGGATATCTTATACACTCCCTTGCCATACTGCAATGCCACAGTGTTGCCAATGTCCGCAAACTTGCGATCCTCCATCAGCAGGAAGTTGTGACGTTTGGCCAAAGCCTCCAGGTTCGAGATAAACTCCGCGCTGAAGTCCTCAACAATGTCCACGTGCGTCTTAAGCAGGCAGATGTGCGGACCACATTTGTTAGCCATGTCCAGGATTTCATCGGCCCGGGTCAGGTCAGCAGCCAGGCAGAGGTTCGTCTGCTTGCTGGCCATCAGGTTGAACAGCCTTTTGGCGACCGGGCTCTTGGCCAAGTTGGCGCGACTCTCGTAGGTCAGTTTTGTGCGCTGCAAGTCGTTGGCTAAAATGAAATAAAAATAGATTATTTTAATGGTAACTGAGCACTTAGTACAGAACTAAGTAAGAATAGGTATATACACTTGAAGCAATCTTATCTATCTTGTTCCTTCTATTTGTAGATAAAGTGTTCCTACGGAAATACTTGCAACCGATGTTATTTAAGGGAATTATAATTATAACTTGACACTTTCATTAAAAAAAAAATAATAAATCAAAACGAAAGTTAATGCACAAAAAAACAATAGTTATATCCTAAGATTTGTTTGAAAGCAGAATAGCTAATACAGCTCTAAAAAAGTTGAAAATAAAGATAATTTTACGCATGGAAACAAAAACGAACCGGTTTTTTTTTTTTTAAATACATCAAACTATAAATCATTAGTCATTACTTATATTGCCCAGAGATTGGCTTGATTGGTAGAAAGAACGAGGAGAGTCTAGCTCTCGAGTGGCCTGATAACCACGGCATAATTGAGTGGAGCACTGGCCTCGAATCACGTGCCGCGTTCCCTCGAACTTGATCTGGTCCGACTCTGAAATCCGGATAGGGGTTACCAGCGCTGTTTATTGGCGGCCATATAAGCACAAAATTAGGAAGTTTATGACCCAACGGGTTGCTCCCCTAATTGAATTTAGTTCGAGGCCGACCCACGCGCTCTACGAGTGTCATGTACTCATTTTATCTCTCTACCTGGCAATCAGTATATCTAAGAGAGATTTGGGGCATACACACCTCCAACAACGTCGGGCTTATCGCCACCCACGAACGTTCCATCGCTGTTGATTTGGACAGCGGCTATGTACTTGGCCACCGCCTCTACCGTGGACTTCTCGATGCGTCCGGCCTCGTGCAGGGTGTTCAGCAGGAAGGAGAGGGTGAAGAGCGAATGCATCCGTACGCCGTGCTTGGCTATGTTGGCCACGCCGCCCTGCTCTCGGTTCACCACGACAACGGCATCGGTCACCACGATGCCCTCGCTCTGGAGGTCACGCACAGTGTCCAGAATGCTGGAACCGGAGGTAACCACATCCTCGACAATAAGGCAGGTGTCGCCGGCATTAAAGATGCCCTCGACGAGTTTCTTGGTGCCGTAGGCCTTCGCCTCCTTGCGTCGCACCAGCATGGGCGTGCCCTGCTGCACAGAGACGATGGTGGCCAAGGGCAAAGCCGTATAGGGTACTCCGCACACGTGCCGGGCATTCAGTTGTTTCTCTTTGATGTACTCCGCCAGCAGGTCAGACACAGTTTGCTAAGGGGATTCCACAGGTGGTTGAGCATGAGTTAGGGGGATTCCCTGGGGAAATGTGTGCACTATACTTACCATCACATCTGGGTAGCTGACAATTACTCGGAGGTCGAAGTAGACCGGCGAATTGATGCCCACCTTCATCTTAAAGTCCCCGAACTTGAATGCGTTGATCTCGAACAGCTTCAGGGCCAAGGCCCGCATCTTATCCGAACTCTGGGCAACCATTGTGGCGACGGCGAAGGCGAGTCTTGATCCGGAATCCAAAACAACACGCTGACTGTTCCTTGAGTACACGTGCTAGCAGCTGCTCCAACCAGAAACACGTCCAATTGGGAGTTATTGTGAGAGCGAAATGCAGTGTGACCGCACCGAGAGCGCCAAAAGAATACCTTAGCGGTTTAAAACTTTTAAGCCGAAAATACCAAAAAAGCTTATTTAATTATGTCGCTTTTATTAAGGGAAGTCCGTTTATTTTTGAATCTTCAAATCCTGTTGAAAATAGAACACTTCTTGTCCACCTTAGACATAGAATCATAGAATTTAATTTATTAAACGACTTATTTTATGCAGTAGTATTTTTCTGAAAATAAGTCAGAAAAAATTCCTCATTGCATGAATTTTAACTTGCAGAAATATTATTTTAACTAATTAAAAACAATGCCAGGCATATAAAGAGAGATAAATTAATTACGTGTTCACGCAAAAAAACTAAGAAAATATATATTATAATAACTTTTTTACATCAATTAATTCATTAAGAGCTTGTGGCAGACTTTAAATATATTTATAAATTGAATACTGTATATTATTACTTATGTAGCTTTGTAAATTGGCTTGCACGTTGATGTTGGCTTTTATAATTTTTATTTAAGATTTAAATACAGTACTTAGGCAACCAATTCCACCCTACGGATAAGCTCCTCCCACAATCCCCGTCAAAGGTTTTAATGGGTGTATTTACACAAACTATCAACCACCAATCAGAGCTCCGAAAACTTGGCTAACAAGGAAGAAGCTAAAGCGCCTGCGTAAGTCAACAAAGTTGTCGAAGCAAGTCGGGGCTTTGAAACAATTCCAGATCCTTTTGGCATAAGTGTTTCCAAAATTTAGTTTCTTTTCGCTTGCCCCCAACTAAGTCACAGCTCTCTGCTCGCAGTCAGAAACTTCTTTGTGCAATTATCGGATTAATTGAATCTTTTTCACGCGATGGCCAGTGCCAATCCTGAATCTGTTGGTGAAGTGGCAGCCAAGCGTCCTCGTCTGTCTGGGAGTTCGAAAGTTCCCAAAATAGTCGAGCCTCAGCCGGCCAAGGTCGTGAATCGGGTGCCAAAATGCGCCAGGTGTCGCAACCATGGGATTATCTCGGAGCTAAGGGGCCACAAGAAGCTCTGCACCTACAAGAACTGCAAGTGCGCCAAGTGTGTCCTGATCTTCGAGAGGCAGCGCATCATGGCCGCTCAGGTAAGAGCTTAAACTTAAGCTAAGAGAATAGATTTAATGAATCAAGAAATCTGGGTTCAATATAGAACAATATAAAGCATATAAAATCAGATAAATTTCCATAAGTTCTTAGTTTTTTGTCGCTTTATATAAATTCAGAAATACATTTCAAATTGTAAAACGCTTAATGTCACAGATTTAATAAAGAAATTCGGCTATTCAATGTCCAAGATTAGGGCTAAACAAGAAAGAAACCTAACTTTGCGAAGGTAAAGTTAATATACCCTTGCAGGTTGCAAATTAAATATAGGATAAAATCGGAATACCTGATTATTGTTAAACTTAAAATATGCACATTCTTTTAATGAATATTTATTAGTTTTTTCAATATGAAAATTTGTTGACAAGTTTAAAAATCTCATAACTACGTCAAAACAGCATTAATTTTAATTCGGAAAGCTTTCGTTACAATCTTCTGACTACAATTATAATACCCTGTCCTAAGAATTAGCAATAACTTCTTTCATCTTTTATTTAACTAATAAAGGATTAAAAACTTTTTTTATCTCCTTCAAAAGTTATTCCTTGAAATACTAGTTTACGAAGAATTATATAAAGAAAGGTTAGATCAAATCACCTGGAAATGTTTTTAAAGATTACACAGTTTGTAGATAGTACGAACCCTCATAATATACACACACAGGCACTATTAAATAAATCAAAGTAACTTAAATCAATTGTCAGTTTCCCAACTTAAGTAGTTAGCTATGCCATTTATATTGTCTTTAGATTAACCACAGTCCATGTTCTAATTTGAAACACAAATATCCGATGGGCAGAGAATCACGGGAAAGCCCCGAAGTCAACACCAACCCCATCTCCTCGGCCAAGGGAAAACAGCCAATGAAAGGGAATACGTGTAAGAGATTCAGGCAGAACAACCAGTCCGGTTTTCCCTGCCGTTGGTGATGATGATGGAAAGTTGTCAAAGCGAAGGAACAAATCGACCAAAATATCCGCTTACCAAAACTGTTTGCACAAGTGTTGCTCCGTCTCGCATTTCATTAGATCGGAGGGATGAGAAATAGTGTTGGGGATGGACATGGGGATGGGTCATGTGGGATACCCCAAAGGAATTCTTGTGGCCTTTGTTTGCGGAAAAGTCAAACAGAAGCAGACGGAGACGGATTCTTAGATCTAGAGATGTTCACTTGTCGCATATTAATTTCAATTGCGGTCTTTTAGGTTGCCCTGAAGCGGCAGCAGGCCGTTGAGGATGCGATTGCCATGCGGCTGGTGGCCAACAAGACGGGTCGTTCCATTGACGCTCTGCCGCCGGGCAATATCTTTGGCCTGACCGTGACCCAACCAAGCTCGCCACGTCCGCAAAAGGAGGAGGAGCTGGCGGAGAAGCCTCTTTCTGAGGAGCAGCAGCAGAGACCGCAGGAGGAGGAGGAGTTCAGCGAACCGGCGGCGGTTGCCCAGGATCTGAGTGCACCCCGACGGGAGAACGTCTCCCAAACGGCCATTGATATGCTGGCCCAACTCTTTCCTCAGCGCAAACGATCTGTCCTGGAACTAGTCCTTAAGCGTTGCGATCTGGATTTGATTCGAGCCATTGAAAATGTCTCGCCACCGGGAAGGGCCACACCGGTGGATATTACCACCAATCCACAGCCGAGTCAGGACATAAGTCAGCCAAGTTTGCCACTCGCCACACCCTCTAGGAGTAGCGCCTTCAGGCCGGTCATAGCAGATCAGGTGAGATTTAGTAGCTCCATCTGTCCATGCTTTCGATCTCTGAGCTACAGTGTGACACCTCCGTTTTTCAGTTCCAGAGCAAATCGATGGTGGAGTTGAAGCCGCCGGCCTTTGGGAGCAATCCTTCGGCAGCGGCGGCCGCCATCTGTGCATACCCCAAGTGGTTCGTGCCGCTCTCCTTTCCGGTCACCATGGGGCACCTGTCCAACCTGGCGCCGCGCTGCACCTTGCCCAACTGCGCCTGCCTGGACAGCTACCAGTTTCACTAGGACTTCCTCTATCTCTATCAGGGTCTTCACATACATCTATTGAAATAAATTTATTTAACCTAACTAAAAGCTGAACTATCTTATGAGTAATGGGGCAATCTTTGAGCTTCACTTTAGGACAGGATCGGCAGCAGCATCCTCCCCCTCTTCCTCCTCATCTTCGTCGTCCTCATCATCCTCGGATAGATACATACGATCCTCCTCATCGCTCTGTTGGCCACTCCTGCTCCCGCTTCCTAGACTTAGGACTGGAGCACTGTTACTGGAAGTGGAGGCGGAAGAGGACGCTGCAGCGGCTGTTCCTTGGGCGGATGCACTGCGCTTGCTGAGATTGGCCCGTCGCCATTTGGCCCGCCGGTTTTGGAACCATGTCTTCACCTGGCGGTCAGTCAGCTTCAGTTGAAGCGCCAAATGGCGGCGCTCCTCGGGTGACAGGTACTTGGAGCTGGCGAAACGCCCCTCGAGATTTTTTGTCTGCTGGGAGGTGAAGCGGATTTGGCCACCTTTGCGCTTAACCCCAAAGTTGGACATGTAGAAGCTAGCCGCCGGATAGGCATTGCAATAGAGGGCAGCTGCTGCGGTGGCTGGATTAGTGAAGCCTGAAAAGGATACGGAAATGGAAAGATTTAACTTTGATTCCCACGGATTATTATAGCTTATTTTTTAGTAGTAAAGAGGTGAGTGAATAATAGATATTCTTAACTATTTGGATACTCTACCTCACAGAAAACCACAGATGCCTTAATTATCACATGAATAATGAATTACCAGAATACTTCTACAACTTGATTAATTATGTTTACAACTGAAATCAACAATGTATCGTGTGATCACCATTATTGAATTATTTCTTTATCATAAAGAATATATAAGATAATAAATAAATTCACCTTCGCAAATTCGAGTAACAATCAATTTCCCTTAACATCAAATTTAAATTAACATTTCGATATAAAGTGGTGCACTCATTGAATTGTGATTGGTGGTAGGTTCTGTGGTTCGATTCCCATATCACCGCCCACCAGCACTTATCAAACTAATCGAACACAACAAATACCCCGTCATACATGTGTATGGGTGCCCGGGTATATATCAGAATCAGTATCAGTATCGGGCATATGTCAACGCCCACTTGTAAGTCGCAGAGAAGACCGAGCCAGTTATAGCAAAAAAAAGTGAGATTTCAGGAGCAATTGGGCGAAATCAATTGTGGCCCGACAAGTAATCCGATTATACATATATAGTATATATAAAAAATATGATGATAAGGGAAACTGTTACTGTTGACGTAACGGAAATTCGCACTTGTAGAATACTTGAATTACGCTCATTTGGCCAAAAATGTTGAACTAATCTGATATTTCGGGACTCACTTACCTCATATTGGAACCCGTCAGGTATGCTATGATATATTATATACTGGAAGAGCGCTTGGAAATTGCCAAATCCCATAAAATAAATAACGCTTGGCTCCAGATGCCATAATTTAAATTGTTACAAATAGACTTATTAACGGTTATTTTTATTAAGTGGCGTACCTGGCGATAAGATCCCCCTTTCCGGATCCCCGTCTCGGCAGAGGTTTACTTTCCAATCGTTGAAAATTGAATTTGTTATTATTATTTTATAATGTGGGTGTCCACAAGGAAACACAGAACCTAGCCATATCAGGTACTTGTCCGGGGCCCCCCATTTCAGGTCGACAACGGACGAGCTTATCGTAATCAAATGGCAATTGTCGCTATAAGATGATGGACAGCGCCTATTAATCGCCTCTAATAGCATTTGTCGTTCAGATAAGCCGACACAACTCGGAAATCGAAATCGGAATCGCAATGGAAATGGAGTGGGCCAATGAATAACATATATAACTATCTCAATTGTGTTGATCGGCGGGTTATACGCTACATTATTGAGGACTAAATTCCATCTAGCTTAACTCGACATGAATCTAATCTAGTGGCGAAAAACAATATGAATAAGGGGAGGTATTATGCTTTTAGGGTATATTTAAATACCGAAAATTCTCTTTTGAATTATTTTAGGAAACACCTATGGATTTAAACAGATTGTTAGAAAAAGCAACTATGGATTAGTTAACTTGTTAATTTCCCACAAGCTTGTTTTTTTATATCCTCAGATCCGCTTCATCTGACCCTACTGTAAGCTTTATTAAATGGGGTTCTACTGTCACTCGATTTCCCATTGATTTTGTATTCCCCCCATTTACCTGACTCCTGATGGCTCTCACCTCAATTTCAAATACTTGTCATTTTGATAAGACCACCGAAAATATTTCGTGGGTTTTCCGATATGTGGCGGTGACTTTATCAGCTTTACGAGTTTCCCAGTCCGAATTCCCTCGAAGGGTAATCTACCATTACATGTTGCATTGGGAACCAAGCCAAGAGAATGCAAGTTTTGGGAATGAGATTTGAAGTGGCATTGGCGCCAACACTTGACTTTGACAAACAAACCTCCAGCTTACGCACACACATTAATCATGTTTATGGCCCATTTCTGTGGGATCCCCATTGTAATATTTGGTGGTTCGAACACTTTGGACTTAGGCTAGTTAAGACTGTATTTAAATGAGGATATTCCGTCGAACGGTTCCCATGCTCGATCAATTTCCCTATGTCAGTTTGATGGAAGGGATTATGAGAGCAGCAATGGCGTGAGGTTCAATGACTTGAACTGTCGCCTAGTTTTAATTTTAATCCCTTAGTTGTGATGAAAACTGTGAGACTACTAATAAATAAATCTAATTTTTTGGTTGATAATTTTCAAAATAAGGTGTCTTTGGGTTCTTACCCCATATATTCCTAAGTTTCAACATTCAGTTTTCCTTGTGGAATTAACATATCACCTTTATAGATATGAATGTTTCAGCTTTTATCAGCATTTCAGAGTCTTTAATTGATAATTGTAACGCTCATTCATGCATAATACCAGATACGAGGCTTGTGACTCATTTCCGGTCATTTTTCCCATATATTATCTATTTTTCAATGCTAATTATGTCCTTACTATTGTTCAAAATTGTGTAATTCAAATGCAGAGTTTAAAACTTTGAGTGTAAGAGCGTTTGGATATGATGAAATAATTCTAGTGGTTTATACATATATCTATCAGACAATTTTAATTCAATTAAAGGAAGTTATATTCTACTCTACATATATGAAATATATTAGGAAATTTACCTTTAAAATAGAATGAAAAAGTTCTTAACTACGTGTAAACCTCCTCCCATTCGCAATATTTAAAAGGAATTAAAACTCACCTTCACAATCCATGGCAAAGGGACTGTATTGATCGCAATATCCTGTAGGCTGGACGGCGGCTGCGGCGGCCACAGCGGCTGCCTGGAAGTGGGGCATGAACAGCGAGGGATTCTTCTGCAGGTTGAGCACCTGCTGGTAGAACAGCGAGGCAGGATCCGGGTAGATGGGATTAAAGCGCAGCGTGGTGGGTGCCAGCACAGGACTGGTGTCCAGATTCTTGAGAGCATACTGCGCAGCTACTGCCTCCCGTGACAGATCGTAGATATTGGTGGCAGATGTTGCAGGAGAGGCGGCGGATGACTGTGAACCGGAACTGGGCATGGCCAGTGCCTTGGGCATGGCTACTTGGGGCGGCTGCTGTGCCACTGGGCTTTGAGAGGAGCCACGACGCGATTGGGATCGATGCAAGGTCTCGGCAGGTGCGGTTCTCGTCTTCTGCTCCAAGATATTCTCAATGGAGAAGGCGGCCTTGCTTGCCTTGGTGCCTATATCCATGGTGGGCTTAGGATCCAGTAGGGAGATATAGCTGATAGATCACCGAATGTATATGTCTGCGCTAGCGGAGCGATCGAAGCGACTGCGTTGGCCGCAGGCGGTGAACTAATGGCTCCCGGTGAAGAAGTCGAGCCAGCAGAGCCAAGGGGCCCAATAAATTGTACCAAATCTGATTTCACAGAATATAATAGATTGTACCTATAATGTTGTGCTAATGGGTAGATATCAATATTAACAATAATAGAGCGGTATGTAGATATGGCCCGCCCGCCCTCACGCACACTCGGGCGCGAACTGCCGATATTATGGAAGATAATGCCGGGCTACCGGCCATCGATTGATAAGCGAATGGTGGTTGGTTCATCGTGGTATTGGTGTTGGTGGGGTGTTCCGCCGGCTCGATGGCACTCCACTCCACTCCACTCCACTCCAATTTCCAATTGCAGACAACGACAGCTCGACACCATTGAGCCTCGGCCCCTGCGGACACCCAATCGGCGATGCGATTCGATTCGATCCGATCCCGGCCGTCGTATAAATCACAGCCCGCCGGGCGCTTATTGAGCTCTGCCAGCACCTACCTCCCACCACCCACCTCCTCCCACCTGGTGGGTGCGGTGCGTTTGATCGAGTAATTGTTAATCACCCGTTATCGGTATCGTCGTTACCTGGCTGTTTCGGCCCACAACTCGGATGGCTTCGTGGCTCGAACTCTGGCTAGTAGCTACTGTTCTGTTGATTGTTGTTGTAAACAAATTAAAATTACCAATCGTAGGCTCCTTCGGTCGCCCCCTGTCTCCTCCTCCGATGTTCCCCACATCGAGTCCTTCCCCGTCGAAAGATATCGGACTCTGATTGAGTAATCGAGTTTGCGTTTCGGGAACAATTTATGCGTTTGTATAACTGTTGTTTGGTGAGAGCATTCGGAGCGGTATGGACATATTTCGGGGGTGCCTTATCAGTTGTGCGTACTTGGGCTCTTCGTAAAGCCTCCCAGATGATGGATTACTTTTGATTTCGGTCTTTGGGACTGTTGTGATAAAAAAAAAAATGAGAGCCCATAAATGCCACCGATTGTTGTTATTGTTGGCTACTGCTACTGCTGATTCAACAACTATGTATATACCCGATTTAGATACCTCTTCGATATTGTTTTTCAGGTTGTCCCAAAAACTGTGCTACTATCTCTAAGATACATTTTGTGATTGTGTTGTTCCAGTGACGAACAATGAAGATCTTCAGTTTTGGTTGGTTGTATGTAAGAAAACATTTCCATATTTTCTTTTCACACGATGTTGGGTTATCTAGTCCTATAAGATTTTGGTCTTGGAACTATTAGAAACAGGCGATACCTTGGTATTGATAGTCGGTGTAGTGAAATCACCAAGTGACTCAATTTCTTGTGACTTTTGGCCATAAACTTATTCATTTTGATAGGCTTCCCTTAAATAAAATGTGATTTTGTGAACTATATATAGAGTTTGCGGGTTCTACGTCAATCGATTGCCAATTAAGTTTTTATAATGCTGGAAAATTATCAATTAGTCAGGTTGACATTTCGTAGAAGTTTGCACATAAAGATATAGATTATGTGGAAACCTTTTTATGTATAATAATTATCTGAGAATAGTAGTAACCTCTCTCTCTCTAAGAATTTAGAGATATATTAATCCTAGATATTCGTATATCTTTTGAAAACTATCTAAAGAATAGCTCTATTAAAATAACCAAATATATTTTTGCCACATGTTGAGTAAACCCTTTTGAGAGACCTTTTAGACTATAAAAATAATTCGATTATTATCCAAAACCCCATGCCATTGCACATAGATTAAAATATTTAAAGGTATAAGTCATAAGTCGAACAAAGTCGGCAGTCGGCATTCAAAGATATGGAAATTGTCCATAGAACGCTATACTTCTGAGTGCAAATTGTAATCCTGGGATCTAACACTTCACACCGTTTCATCATGAGCAGACACTTGTTCTCTGCTATCAGACAGTCAGTTGGTTAATCCCCAACCAAATTCCGTCGATCGAAAAGATATAAACAATTTGCACCCGGCCTGTGACGGCCATTTTGTGACATATCACAAGGTAAGTATTCAAATTTATCAAGCGGTGCTTCTCAATGGGTATAGCAATATTTGCCATTCACCAGCTATTTTGTTTTTTACCCAAAATTAAACAAGAATAATGAATGGTAACAGAATATTTTCAAATGGAAGAGCCTTTCGGTTTTGGGTTGCGATAAGTAAATGCGGACAATTCGAGGCATTGACAAGGCCTGCGATGCCACAAACTACGTTAACGTTCTTCGATAAAGAGGAGCTTAGGGGCGTCAAGTGACGCTAAATTATTAGCAATTATCAGGAGACAAACGGTTTGAAATGACTTCAAAATTGGGCATAAATACTCAACGGACGCATTAATTATAGCAGAGGAATGGCTTTGCAAGGGGCAGGTGTACCGATAACGAATGGTCCGGTAAAAGTATTTACCAATTTAGGTTTAGGTTAGGTTAGCTCCAAAAACCTTGAGCTTGTTTTAGTCATTAAATTGCTTATTATAATACTGTCAGATCCTAAACCTTATTGCCTTCACCAGGGATGGCAATAAAAGCTCATGTTTTTAAAAAACATACGAGGTCAATAAAAATATGGTTCAACATTCTCCGTGAACATCGGTTGATTGATTTATTTTCATTCTTTTATTTATGCAAATGAATAAATATTTCGTATATAGCACTACGTTGGCTGCAAGTAATTAATAAGCAGTTTCATCATTGACCTCTTATTGCATTTGATTCACATATCTCTCTCTCTCTTTCTCTGTGCTCTTCTTTTCGATCTTCTTTTCATACAGTGTACATCATAATATATATATATATATATATAGGTTGTGTTTAAATTATCTTTAGCTTTCTTTTATAACTATTTATTTATAGGCTTCGCAAGAAGTTTCCATGGTTTCATGCTTTGCTTTGCATTGTTTGAGAGTTAAGAGTTGCTGTTGAGTATTCGCTTACTTGCTTGCTTTGATTTAAATTCCATTTAAAAAGAAAACAATTACTCAAATGCAAAATATAAATTAATTCAACTACAATTTGAAACGTACATATCTAGGCGCATGCACACATTGAGTTTACTGTGTTTTGGGTTCGTCTCTCAGTTATTTTTGGTTTGAAAAAGCACTACGCGTTACAAGATCTTCGAGTATTTGTGGTTTGTTGCTGCCTTTGTTCTGAACAAGCTGCCTCTAGACGTTACGAAATAAAATAAAGTCACAGGACTTTTGGTTTGGATTCTTTTTGGTAGCCTTAGTAAGAAAATTCGAGTAGCAAAACGAGTTAAGGGTAAAAGTAGGAGTTAGATTAAGTTAAGATCAACATCATCCTTTGTATAGATACAAATTGAGTTCAAGTTAGATTTTTTGTAGGTAGTAAGTTAGGATAGGTTAATAACGTTTACATATCTTTAGGGTTGATTGGTGGTCCTAGGCCAGGTTCGCCACATGGGTCGTGTCCATGTGCTGGATGAGGGTGCGCATAAAGGACATCTCCTTGCGCGCGTTCTCCAGTATCACCTTCGGATCATCGGACGTGCAGCGCAAACAATTTGGCGCAAAGACCATGGCCAAGTTGGAGGAGTCCATCTTGGTGCAGCTCACCACCTCGGGATTTGAGAATTGTTGCAGGAAATGTATTAGATACGTTAGAACCTAAAAAAAACGTATGGGATTCGTTAGGTCGTATTTATCGATAAAGCAAATGATTTCCTGAGACTTACTATTTGATTTATTTCAGGCAACTTATTAACTATTTCTTTGGCTTTGTCGGGATCCTCGGTATTCACACAATCCTCGTAATAGGCATCCGGTATTAGCGGATCGTACAGCTCGCGGTACCACAGCTTAAGCAGACTGGCCGGCGCATGAGCGTCAACTGTATGAAATATATCGGAGAAGATATAAAAATAAATTGTTAAATAATTTAATCTTATTTCTAGCATGGAGCAAGAATGGAATGATTGTATCTCACCCAACGTGTTGTTAATGTCAGGAACATCCCACCGATCGAGGCGATTCTTCATACAATTGACCTCATCCACATCCGCGGAAACGCGAAAGATGCCCTCAGTCTGCTTTCCGTTGAGTAGCAGCACCTGCAATACAAATCCATATAGAATACTCGACCGTTTTCCTAAAGGGTGTAAGCTTACATGCTCAGACAGTGTTGTCTGGATCCAAGGTAGCTTCCGGAATGGAAACTTATCCTTCTGCAACTCCATGACCTCGGATAGAGTGTTGCCAAACATGCTGTTCCTCAGAATTTGTTGCTGCAAAAACATATTTAAAGTCAAATCTAAAGTCTCTTCTATTAGTTTATTGTTAACTTACCCGCGCCTGCTCCACCTCATCGACCGTTGGCTTCTTGGCCAGTCGTCGTCCGCTGCTACCAATTCGATCCAAGCGGCGACAACACACTGTGGCATAGTGCGATATCTGCACATGGATGGGCCACTTGTTCACCTCCATGAAACTGGGGCCAAAGGATGGATCGCGATGCCTATTGACGTAGCTGTAAGTAAAATTAAAAACTTTATTTAGTAAAGGGTTTCTTCGGTTTTAGGATTCTTCCAATACTCACTTGAGCAGTGTGGGCTGAAACGTGGGCGAGGGCGGTACAAATGAAAGACATATGGCCATTAGCTCCCAACCGCGGATGAGTGACTCTCGCTTGGGATTCTCCGTCGTTTGCCGGCACAGCTGAACATAAAGCTCGTCCCTTAATCTGCACAAGAATAATTTAGATCAATCTATGCAAGGTTTTTATTTAAAAATTTAACTCACTGTTGCTGGGGCAACGATGCACTAATGATTTCTATGGCCACTGAGTTAAGGGTCATTCCCATACGCGCCTTGCGGTCCGCCATGTAGATCTGCACCAGTTTAAACAGTTCTATGGCTGTCTTCTTGTCCGCCTTGTCGCGGGACAACGC